TTACAACGAGAGGGTTTTTCGTGACACCCAGCTACCGGAAAATCTAGAAGGTGCCTGCATATGCTTATTAACTCTGGAGAGAGGAGCACCATTTTTGTGGTTCTTTGAAAGTTTTATTTAAAAATGCGAAGTATTTATAAAATTATAGCCTATACATTAAATATTAATATTTTATTGGATGGTCGATTTCATATCACGTAACATGACGTTTTGCGATTACATTTAATCTATAATTAACATTTTCATCGCGATTTCACCCCCTTTTTAACTTCTAAATTCTTTATCCGATCTGAAGCAGATTTTTCATATTTTTTTGGGACAGAAAAATCTGCAGGCTATCACTTGACTTTTAGATGAATATAGAGTTATCATATAAACTATTCTCTTATAATGTTACTGATGATTGAAAAATACTTGAAATCTACTTTAAAAGACTGGTGAAACCAGGTCGTAAAAAGTGGATCTCAGCAAAAATATATAAAAGAAAGAAACTTTTGAAACTTGTGGTATAAGAATAGTGTAAGCATATTTGACAATAAGACTCAATATGTGAATAAAATGCACGTTATACATTTCTCAATTGTATTATTTATAGTTATTTATAGCAATTCAAGTTTAAAAATCAGTTATATTGCCTGTAGTTTTTAATCATATTTCAATTTAAAAACTCACGTCACTACGGTAATCGGGTCTCCGGTAAACAAGTTTTCGATTTTCACCTACATAACTGTGTTCTGGGTTTAAGGAAGGACACGAACACACGGTTTATACCGTAACAGCAGTCTACTGGTTTGAAATTTGAAAATTTTAGCCTATTTAATATCACAAGTGAAGTCAGGTAACTGCTGCGAATGATAATCAATAAGTAGTAATGAATATTAAATAAATTCAAATCTAATGACGTAATAAAGGATCCTGGAGACAACTGTTTTCAATAGAAAACAGGTTGTTGACAGAAGGTTTTAAAACCGTCGAGTTTGAATTTATATTTGCATAAATAGATAAATAAATAAATAAAATGTATACAATACGAAACACCTCTTTTCCTTGAATAGACTGTCATCAATCGATGTCAATTAATAAATATTCACAATAAATTCACTCGAAGTTTTGAATTCGTAAGGCCTATTTCATATTATGACCGACTGCTCCGATCCGATTACAAATAATTAACTGTTTAAATTTGTCCTACTTGAACGACCCGTCTGACGTAAGGCGCTAGATTACCTTTAGTCTGACGACCCACTGCTGTTGCCATGTCAACATGCTTTGCAGTCAAACTAGTCGAACCAGTCGGCCATAGTATGAAAGTCCTAAGAAAGACAGGCAAGTAAACTCAGTGTTTTTGTTCGCGTTGTAGCAGTAAAAAAGGGGGTGCAAATTCAAAGTGAATAGAAGAGAGTCAGGTGGTAGCGCGTCACCAACTCCCGTCGTAGTTAGTAGCTACGAAACCCACTTGATATATGATAAACAACTATTGTTCATAGAATTCACCTCGTTTTTATCACTCGTCTGGAAAACACCGTTGATACGTCGTCAGTCTTTTTCTAGGTTTTCTCCTTTCATTTAGAGGATTGATGATATTTAAATTTCGACGAATTAAGGTCGATGGAGTGGAGAGTTAATGGGAGTCGTATGTATTTTCATTAGGGTGGATGCACCCGTGGCGTGGTATGGAAAAGCGGTGAAGCAAGCGCATTTTCGTCGCGCAGTGGCACAAGTGACAACCTACTTACATTTCGGCGCTTGCGTACAGTATTTAAGATGACGAAAGATACCGACACTTCCGTTATCCACGTGTTTACACATTTTGTTTTGTACGGCTCACTTTATTTAACTAGAAGATTTTGTCGAAGGTTTTGGATGAGTAATATTTTCTTGGATTGATGTAAAAATACGTTTATTCTTTGATCAAGATAAACAATACTATTTCGACCAAGATTCGTTTGTTTTTTTTTAAATTAAATTATATATGATTATTTTGTAGAATTTGTGTGAAATTTATTTTATTTTGTTTTATCTTATGTCAGTCATTTCATGTAACCGCATCGTTCATTCTGCCATTGATTTTATTACCTCACGTGACTACCAGACGAACCGTTATTGGCTAATAGAAACGCGTCACGGCGTACTTAATGACGATTTTACTCCTTACTAGAATTTGTAGATTAGACTAGAACTAGAAAATATTAAATATAATAACAGATGGCGCCTGCGAAATTTCAAATGTTGCCGAGAAATATGCGTGACCTGTTTGAAAAGATGCTAATTTATCCTACTGTCGAATTTCTCTTTCGAATGGAGATAGAGAGAGAGAGAGAATTCACAGAATAACTTAAATGTAATGTTTTCACAATTATGTTTCATATCGAAAATATTTCTTTTTGTCTTCGAATTTTTTATTTATTCGACTTTTTTCTATGTTTGTCGGAGGTATTGGAATTTTAGCGTTACTCTGCGTTTCTTTCCCACAGGCAACAAGTTATACGTGGCAAACTCAAGGGAACTGCCGTGTGTGAGGGTGACTTCATTTTTATGCGCAGAACTCTTCCAATTAGAACTGTGGAAACAAGATTTCTACCCTACCAACACGTGTTTGAAGTTGGACTGTTTAGCGCGGCTGTCCCTAAAAATGGCCCTGTTGATGGCTTATAAATCTAGGAAGGCGAAAAGAATTAATTGGGTGACAGAGGGGTAATGGAGGCAGAGAATTGGACGATGACCGTAGGGAAAGGTTGAGGCATTGATAATCTTTTGCTTAAAGGTGTGTGAACGAACATTGCGTTTAATGATTTCCGGATTTGAAGAACAATGTACGGTAAGGACACAAAGTGTGAATTTCATAGAGAAGTTTTTCCTAAAAATATTTACAAATCTTTCTCACACAAGGGAAAATGGGTTAGAAAGCGTTGGTGTATATTAACAGAAAGTTTTTCCTTTAACTTCGTTTTACAAAAATAGGGGAAAATATCGAACAAATATGACAAACTTTGTTAAAAGTAAATTATGAACTTTGGATCCTCACATAATATTAATTTTGCATTCAATTTTCTTCATTAATTATACTATTTTTAATTAATTACAACTGTCGTTTCTTTCCACATAACTATTAAAAATCATTTTAGTTCTGTTTCGCCCAAAAGTTAATTAAATATACATTCATTTTCATATTTTTAGTAGTTTCATTTATTTATTTTATAAATTTTACTGCTTTTTAATTTTTTTAATTTTACCTTTTAATTATAATCGAATTAAAATTGAACTATCAGGCTATCTTATTAACCCCTATATATAGGCCTACATAGGAGTTAATAAGACTCAAGCCCTGGGCCCCAAAGTGTCAATGGGGCACAAAAATTGAATTATTATGATAAATTTTAATTAATACGTTTTTATTAACATTTCATAAATATATATATTTCAACTCTGATTTTCATGTTATTAAAAATAAACTTTAGTCCCCAATTTCAAACCTTTTAATTTAACGAAAATGGGGCCCCATTGAAATTCAATAAGACTAACCTTTTAAATATTTCATTTTTAGTTTCTTACTATAAATATTCATTGGTGCGTTTTATGAACAACACTATCAGCCATATAACAAGTGATTTTGTTGCGGCAAAATGTCACGTGTGCTGGACTCGTGTCACGCCTGTAGTTTCTCCCGTCGACCCTGAAGGACAACTGAACGTGCTACAACCGGAACAATAGTAATGATTTTTTTCGTCTTTCCTTATTGCTTGTTCTAAATTTCGAATGAACATTTATTAATTAGTTAATTAATTCATTGAATACAGATTTCTGACATACCAGAATATCGTTAATGGAGAAAATGAAGATAAAGGAAGAGTTAGAAACGAAATATTCGGACTTTATAATTGAACGAAAGGAAGAAAAATTTAAAGTTGATTTAAAGAATTTCAAGAAAGAATTTAATACAGATGTGAAGTGTTATAAAACAATTAAATCGGAACCTTTAGAGGTGAGTGAAAAATACTTTATCATAAGATCGCAGTGTTGCTTTAAAAGATGAGGAACACAGCTTATACGCCACAATATAAAGTGGGAAATAGAGGAAAAAAATACTTTTNTAAAGATTTTAATTGAAATAACGTAACTTTCGATGAGGAACACAGCTTATACGCCACAATATAAAGTGGGAAATAGAGGAAAAAAATACTTTTAAATAATAGCCCCCTGAGCTTTAAACTGAGCTAAGTTGTTTTCGATTTAAAGTGAAAGTCAAATGTGACACGATTTTTATATTTTCGTTTCTTATATGCATTACAAGATCCGAAAGAAAAGACAATCAACGAACAGATGTTTATTGTGACATCCTCACAATTCCGGGCTGCAATTTTTATTACATTTTATTTTATTTAAAATATATGCTCCTCACCTGAAATTAGTAGTGGCTCGCCCGTGTACATTATACTTTTCCTGTTAGTAATAGAGTCGTGACGTTTACGTATCTAACTTCTTTCAGAGGAAAGTTTCTGAATTGAAATAACATGACTTTCGATTTGTATCGGAACTTCTATAGTTAATCGGGACATCGTGCCTTTTAAGTTTTTCACATTTGATCTCGGCATTCACCTATCTATCTCTGTTGTCGAAATTAACAAACGACTGTCAAATAGTCGTACAGACTAAGTAAAGTGGGAATTTATAAGTCTATTATCAAATTGCATTCCGATTCTTAGTGAACTATTATTTACATATTAACATAGTATCAGATTTATTCAATTGGGCAGGAGGTTCCGATAAACTGTATACGTATATATGCTGAAAACCTAAAGTGACGTTATTTGAATTCAAAATTTTCCTTTCAAACGTGTTAAATAGATGACACGCACTACTATTAAAAGTAATTAGTAGACCATTTAAAAAAAATTATTCAGTAAGCGTATTTTTATGCTTCGGCTTAAATAATTATTGTATTTGTTTTTCTATAAACATCAATTTGTTTGATAATATAACGTAAACTTTTATTATTTCAGATAAATATTAAAGGAAAGCCAATTTTCACAAACAACACAAACGGATCCACTATTTGGAGTGCTGCTGGTTATAAAATCGAAAGAGGTAAGAGGCTTAATACTTTTAATATCATGACAGTATATTCCTACTGATAAGAATAATAGGTAATACAGTACGTAAATTTACATTCATTTAATGAATGTATTAACTGAATGCATTGTATACATTTAATACAATGCATTTCGCATTGTATTAAATGTATACATTTAATACAATGCGAAATGCGAATACGTCGTGTATAGTATAAATGTAAATTTAATTCATTACATTCATTAAATTTACATTCATACTGTACACGACGTATTCGCAACGTTTTTCAAACGTTATCACTTCCATTACGTTGCGAATACATCGTGTATAGTGAAAAAGGATTTAAATAGAATTTAATATTATCAATAACAATTAATTCAGTTGACAGATTTAAAACTGTCAATTCAATTGATAAGAATCTTACAACAGAGAAAAGTCCGATTTATATATTTTAGATTTCAACGAAAAGAGAAATTGTTTATTATGGCATCGTCACAATGATGGGTTGCAATTTATAATCATATTTTTAATGTATTTAATTTAAAATATATACTCTTCATCTGAAATTAATAGTGGCTTGTTTCTGTACTGAACATTATAATTTTCCTTTAACAATGTAGTTTTGCCGGTCATTTATTAACTGTTTTCGGGGGGTAAAGATTTTAATTGAAATAACGTAACTTTCGATTTTCATCAAAAGATCCTACATAGTTAATCGATGTGTCGTGCCCCTAATCTTTCCAAATTATTTTACCTCGGCTTTTATCTCCGTTTGTTCTTCAGATTAAGAAAGGACTGACACACAGACAGAGGACAGTGAGAATTGATAAATCTACAACTTTTTTCTACAATTACAGCCCAATTTATGAAATTCGATTTTTTAAAATAAATACCGGAAAAGTCTGTTGGTATTTATTTTATTGTTTTTATCGACAAACTAATAAACTGATCTGTACTTTCAAAACTTTTGCCATTTTATAGTAATTAATAATAAAATACATGGCTGATAAAGTTCCCTAACCCGTTGCCAGATTTTGTTTCTTTTCAAATCAAACTGAAAATAATTATGTACAGTACAATGCCATAATATTACACATTTTTGTTAGTTATGAGAGCCGGTACAACAGTGAAAGTAAATTATCCATCGTTAGCAAACTCGATACATTAACATATTACTCATAAGCTCCATCCAAGGTATTTTTTAACTTAGTTATTAAGTACTTGCACATATAATATCTATTTAAGATTTTATCAAAGCATCCTGGAATCACTTCTAATTCGATGGGGACTGTATTAAACACGCAGTAAATGCTATCTGTTGACCTATGTACTAAGCAATATGTGCTTCTAAGGAATATTGGAACGCCATGAGAACATGATATTTCTTGACTCAGAATGCACATGAAAATAAATACCTGTATACTTAGTTTATACTTATACATCACTTGCGTTGAAAGAAGTTTTTGTTGCATACACATTCATGTATTATATATGAAACGAAGTGTTTGGGAGTGACACGTACTGCACAATACATAAAGTTATCAACGTCGACAAAGAATTTTGTACAATATTTTCTATTTTTGTGCTAATGGAGGGTCAGAACGTCCCAAAATGGGAAAACGTCAAAATATCGAACTTTTATTGATTAACGTAACTTCCTTGTGATATTTTATAACATCTACGAGAATAAATAGTAAGTGTGATAATTGTAAATTTCAACGTGAAAATGTTTAAATCCGTAATTATATAACACTTAAGATATGTTTTACTTTTTCGGCTGTAATATATAAGATTAAGGAAGTCGGTCAGAGAATAATTCCCCCGAATATTATTACATTTTTAAACTTCGTTTTACGCTTTCTTGAACAGCGTAAAACGTCGAGAAATGAAAAAAAAAATTTCGGAGATTTTTTGTATGCATAAATGTCAGCGTGTGTGAAGGGGCACGATGATTTTTTTCATTCTTTCTAAAGTGTAATAATTACAGAGCTTTTTGTAGAAAATTTCTGAAATTTACAATGAAGGTTTCTTTATTAAAGGGATTGATGCTTTTTAGTTTTTGTGATTAAACGTGGAGGGGGGTCGTGTCTATCTTCAGTAGGGTCGGACTTAATAAGGAGTTTACTCATTTTCTCATTTACAATTTCTTATAAAACTCATCTTTATCTTTAAAATTAAGCATTTTTTTTTTAAATTTATCCTATAACAGTTAAAAATATAAAAATATTTTAAACAAATTATTATAAGATGGCGCCACACGTAGATTTTAATGTTTCCGGAAAACTTAAGCACTCTGCTGGTTTACTTTAATAACGAAAAACGTTTATAATCATATTTATTATAATTTGTGTCACACATTACACCAATACGCAGTGATAGTTTTCGGCTTGTAATCACAAATAAATGATGTAGTGAAACATGTAATTTAATATTGTTATGTTAATTATTGAAAATATGCTCAGTTTTATGTTATATTTCAAGTTTTTCTTAGAATCCTTTAACACAAAAACTTTGTAAATTCTACTGTAGATATCAAGAAAGAAGAAGTAAAAGAGATTTATGATGTAAAACATTGTATAAAAACTGAATGTAAAGTTGTTTTGAAAAGATTGAAGATTGAAGTAAAGAATGAAGATCATAAAGAAGTTGTTCATCTTCCTGATGATAATGAACAGCTAATGGTAAGTAATACAAATTTCGAAATATATCATAATGAAATTTTAATATTAACTTAGTTTTCTGAATGGTGAAAAACATCACTAACATAATATTTTAGGTGTATTCTGTGTTAAATAAAAAATATGTATTATATAAGAAAATATCTGACAAAGAGTGGCGTAAGTCTTCTGGCTGTTAAGAGATTTCATTTAAAAAATAACATTTATATTATTAATCGTAATAAATAAATAAAATTGCGTAATGCCATCTGTTATAAAAACTCTGAATAATTTTAATTATTATAAAATGAAGAAATGTTTAATTTTAATGATACAAATGCATTTCAAAAAGAATTATAGATGCTAATAACAAATAAAATCGCCATTCAGTCCAATCCAACTCCAGATTTTTTACGTTGCGTATTTTTATCTCATCATTCCTCGACGTTTTATTATCAAAATTTAATTGCATTAATGCTCCTTATACACAACGAACGGTGCTAAATTTCGTTTTTTATCTTTAATTGTGAAATAATAAATGAAACAGACGCCAAAATACACGCCCACACATACACATTTACGGAATTTATTGCCATGTTTTTTTTTTTGGTGTAGAAGATGTCAAAAACTGAAAATTTGCAAAAAATGAAAGGGTGAAAAATGACCGGATTTCAGTTCTTTATCTTCTTATGTATACATAACATGCAGCCACATCTTTAGGAAGGTCACCCGACATACAGGCAGACCCAAGAATTACGAAACTCTTGGCAAAATTTACTTTGTGAATCATTGAAACGACGATGAACAAAATACCAGATTTTTTTTATTTTTATAATACAGTACTATGAAAAGATTACTTAGATAAACACCGATTAGGGGAGATCGGGGCAACTTCGGCATGCGGGGCAAGTTTGTCAAGCGCTTTTTTTAAAAAACAAATTAAAAAAAACTTTGATTATAGGTTAGGCAGTTGAGTTTCATTGGTGGCTTGTTGAGTGTAGTGTTTTTATTGTTCTCCAACAAGCGTAGTTGAATTATCAAGCAAATTTTCATTTTCGTTCAATTCCATATAATATTTTTTTTCCATTTATATTGAATTGGCAGGTTTTGTTATAATTCCATGATAACGAAAGTTACTTTTCCTGTTAGAAGGATGTAACTTCAACTTATTCACGTGGCCAGATCGTGGCTTGGCATTCTGTTCTCAGGGTTGTACTTAATGTTTCGAAATCATGACTAGCGGGGTAAGATCGGCAACATAAAGCCACATTAGAAGCAAAGGATAAAAATCAAACAGATGATAAATGAAAACATGTTTGCATTTGTTATTCATGTATATATGTCTTTGAACTTGCATTTCGTTGTAATAATATTAAATGGGTGTTGGATTTGTATTTCTTTGTTTTAATAGTGAATTCCAACTTATACATTGTTAATAACATAATTTTATATACGTGCCTATCTTGCCCCATTACTGTTGCCCCTATACCAGGGGCAACTTTAATAAAAATAATTAAAATAATTACAAGTTTACAAAAAAAAAGAAGTTGCCGATCTTGCAAATGATGTAAAGTGCTTATAGAATTTTTATATATTTGTGTTTATCACAGCTTAATCGTGTAGAAGTTTGTTCTTTTACGGCATCTTCTGCCATTAACAATATATAACACGTTTATAAATTTCGAAAGATAATTTTCCAAGCTGCTTTCGTATTTAGCCGCTATTTCCCTTAACAAAAGAATGTCTTTAAAACAGAGAAAACGCATTGGAATTTTCCTACGGTTATATATTTACGGTAGGAGAATCGACGCTAAATAATTATTTACTGTTATTAAACATTCTCTAAATATTTTTAAATTGTTTAATACGTTTATAATAGTTTACTTGTTTATAATTATTTTTTAATAGTTTACTTTCGCTGGTAACCTTCGCCGTTCTTAGATGTTTCCGCCATTTTATCACATGAATTAGTGCGTGACATCACCTTGTGACGCAACGTGTTTTACTTGGAGTTCAAACGTCAAACGTATACTTCTGCTTCCCGTACAAGTTTAAAGTTTGTACTTCGGCTGCAACCTCTCTAAATGTAATAAAATGAGCAAAACAGTTTTACAACGAATTATGAAATTCATTAGGTGTAAAAATCTACTCTGTGGGCTTTTACTGGACTAAATTATTTTACAAATATCATAGATTTGTAGCAAAATCAGCCTACTTCATTAGTAATATTTTTTTTTAATGGACAAGATGGAAAGTGAAGAGTATCGCTTGTTATTTTGTTAATTTCCCCAAAAGAGTAAATAATTTCAATAAAATTTTCAAAACAATTAATTTTAATGCAATTTTCTAATATGTAGCGTATATATGAAATCACAAATTACACATTTGTAATATACAAGTGTGTAATGACTTTTATATTACTTTTCCGACTCTTATATATAACACAGGGAAAGTATAACGATCGTAAAAAATGACTCCCAAAAATTTTTACATTTTTAAACTTAGAATACTTTCAAACATCGAAAAATGCAAAAAAAAAAAAACAATAAGTCTTATCTGTATGTATGGATGTTAGTGTTTGGGGAGTGCACGATTTTGTTCACCCTGTTTGAAACGTTGCTGGGAAAGTTGAACAACTCGTTACTGCTTTATATGTGTCATAAGTGATTATTCGTGATTGTTATGTATTGTTTGTATATTATTTAGCCTGTCAACAATGAATTATTCATTCTGGACGAAAACTCTAATAGGAATGAAATGACCATCCAAAGTAAGTAACATGTTACTTAATTTAAATTTTTTATATTAATATTATTTAGAGGGCAGCTAAAGAACTGCATTCAAGTTTCAACTGTCATACATTTAACTGGGATGTAATATTAGAGAATTACAAGTAACTACCTGCATCGTATTAATATAAATTTGAACTTAATAAAACAATGTTAGAATAATCAGAATCATTAAATCACAACTCATGACTTGTGATTTAACGATTCATGTTATCTTGCGTTGTTTATGGATTCACTAAAATAACAAAGAAAATGTATTAAAACAAAGTAAACGACAGCTATATAACTTATTTAATGACATAATTAAGTAAATATTAAGATCGTGTTTTCTAATACGTCGCTAATATTCTTGAAAAACGTTGTACAGATCTACAAGACATACGCTCAAATTAACGAATTTTGATTTAAAAAATCTTAAGAATCCATTTATTTTTCTTCTCTACTTAAAATTCGTAGACTTTTGCAGTGGAACGTTTTTTTTACAGTAATGTTTTCTTCCTCTCTCTAAAAGCACACAATTTTCAATCAGTTTATGGTAAAAAAATGTTTTATTTTAATGCAAACAACAAACAATGCCTTGCTTTTAAATGAAAAACATAGGTATACTTCACCATTTATATTACTACAGCAGTAATATTTTAATATTAAAGCTATGTTATATTTATTCTAATATAATAGGTTTTTCATTTATGATATTTTTTAAACTTTTAGTTGAGGAGGAAGAGCAAATTGAGGAACACGATATTCAGCACAATTCAGAAAAACAAAAACGTCTCATATATAATATCAAAACAAGCAAATACGTTCTTTCTAGTAGAAAACTCAACAAAATTCATGAAAAGATTAAAACGAAATACTTCAAGGTTATGTTTGCATCTCATTCTAAAAAAGAATTTACGTGTGATTTATGTCAACAGACTTTTACAAATAAGAGGATATTACAAACACATCTGTTGTGTCACATTAGAAAAAAACCATTTTGCTGCACAACCTGCAATAAAAAGTTTTTGTGGCAATTTCTTTTGCGAAGACACGCGAAAAGACACAAAATTGGAAATGAAAACGAAATCTCTCATAGGAATTTACGTTTGCAGCCATCTGGGAATGAAGTGAAGTCATCTCCAAAAAATGGTAAAGTTCATGCCTGCAAGATATGTGGAAAAGAATTTAAGTGTAATTATTCGTTATTACGTCATGAAACAACGCATAGTGAAGACCGTCCTTTCAAATGTAATATTTGCAATAAGAGTTATAAATCGAAAGACAATTTAAGAACACATTACGAAACTCATACTGACGAACATAACTATTGTTGTGAAGTGTGTAACAAACGTTTTAAAACAAAATATTATTTAATAAATCATAAAATAATTCATAATGATAAATTTAACTATACTTGTCAGGTATGTAACAAAAGTTTTAAACGAAATGGTGATTTAAAAAGGCACATTCTTCGTATACACAATGTTGAACACAATTATTCTTGTAATATATGTAACAAATATTTTAAATCGGAATACCAACTAAAAACCCATCACCAAACTCATAAACGTAACTATACTTGTCACATATGTAACAAAAGTTTTAAACGCAGTTCTGGTTTAAATCAGCATATTAATACACACAACGATGAATACAAACATTTCTGTGACATGTGTAAGAAATACTTTAAATCAAAACGCTGTTTGCGAGAGCATAAACTTAGTCATTGTAAAAAATCTAATATCCAACGAGAAAATGTGTGTTGCGACATTTGTGGTAAGCGCGTTCCATATGGTAAGGGCCGTTTAGAAAGACACAAGAGTACACACAAAGTACATGCCTGCAAGATATGTGGTAAAGAATTTAAGAGGAAGGGTATATTGTTGCAACATGAACAAACACATAGTGAAGACCGTCCTTTCAAATGCGATATTTGCAATAAGAGTTTCAAACGGAACGACCATTTAAAATCGCATTATGTATTTCATACTGATGAACGTAACTATGTTTGTCAAGTATGTAACAAACGTTTTAAAACAAAATTCTATTTGGAACGTCATAAAGTAGTTCATAATAATGAATTTAACCATACTTGTCACATATGTAACAAAAGTTTTAAAAGCAGTATTCATTTAAATCTTCATATTCGTAGACACAGCAACAAATTAAAATATTCTTGTGATATATGTAACAAATATTTTAAAACAAAACACTATTTGGCACGACATAAAGTAGTTCATAATAATCTATTTAACCATACTTGTCAGGTATGTAACAAAAGTTTTAAACGTAGTGCTAATTTAAAACGGCATATTCGTATATTCAAGAATAAATGTAAATATTATTGTCATATGTGTAACAAATATTTCAAGACAACACATTTATTGAAACAGCATAAAAATATTCATAGCGATAAAAGAAAGTATGTTTGTGACATATGTAAAAAAGGTTATATCGATACAACTGCTTTAGCCAAACATTGTCTTACTAAACATGAAAATATGTATTTATGCTATATTTGTAAGAAGCATTTCAAGACTGAATCCATGCTAAAAGAACATTCGAATATTCACATTGAAAAGTGTAATATTTGTAATAAAGAATTTAAAAGTAAACGCAACTTAATTAATCACCAGAAAATTCATTAAGACAAAAAACCGTTTCGTTGTGAGAAATGCAATAGACTTTTTACCAATAGACATGTATTAAAATGTAACGAAGACAATCTTCGTTGCGTCCGTAACAAGGAATGTTACTTTAAAAGTCTTATTAAGCGATCAAATCGTTTATCAGAATTAATCGCATTTTTGGAAAAATGGTAAAAGCAGATTTAAAACGGAAACTAAACTGAAATTACATTTAAATTTTTTTGTTTAGAAATACACCCCAATTACCTTAACAATGTAATATATGTAAACAGACTTTTACGTTTGTGGGAGTTTTAGAGAAGCGTTTGATTATTTTTAATAATCAAATTCATTTCTGTTGTGACATTTGTAAAAAGCTGTTTTGAAGTTTATTTCCTGTGAATTGAAAAGACATTGATAAGTTTGTAATTCGGCTGTTGATATAAATATACATCAACAGCCGAATTCCAAAATCATTAATACTTTTTGTTCCACAGGAAATAAACATTAATGCAAAATATACAAGAAGACATTTAGAAAACAGATTCGATTAATTACGCACATGAAGACAAATTCCGAATTATGCGTTAAGAAATGTTCCTTTTAAATGTTTTCGTGTGAAGTCATCTTTCACAATGGAATTGTTTTTGTGAAATGCCTCAAAATAATTTACATACTTTAAAATAATTATTTTATTTTATTTCTATTACTTTAATATATGTACTAGAAGATATGGAATAATGCGGACTTTTTATTTTTATTATTAATTTTAAGTATAACGTGTATCAAAGAGACTTAACATTATGAACACAAAGTCTTTAATATAAAGCGAAATAACTGTATTGTCTGAAGAAAAATGTCAAGAGTTTTAATTAAGCACTTTTGCAAAATAATGAATAATTTATGAAAATTTTCTCAGGATAAAAAAAAGTTTTTTTATATGTTTATGTCAGTAATGTTTCACTTAAATCTAATGTATAATTAAATGTATGAATAATAAAATATTTTCTTATTATAATTTTCAATTACTGTATAAAATAAATATATAATAAAATAATAAAATAAATTAATAAAATTCTTTATACTACGAGTTTATTTTTGTTTTGTTATTTATTGTTTTAATACAATATTAAAATAAATATATTTATACGTTCAATCGTTATTTTTTTATTTTTTATATTCTAGATACAAATATTTGTATTAAGAAATAAATCGAAAAGAATAAATTTAACCCGTGACGTAAGGTTTACACGACGCTATAAGAATTCAATGGCGGTGCCATGTAACCGAGTTTGGAATAGTTGTGTACTGTATTGTGGTTGGTTTAAATTCATCACGTGATTTTAAAATCGATAACATAAATGGGAGTTTCAGTCTCTGCTTTCCTTTAGTCTGTACCTTCACTTATAATGTGCTGGAAGTTCTTTCCCCAAACATGACGGAATATCTTTAAGAGTAAATGAAGTTGAAGAATTGAGAGGAGCTTCAAGTCGAGCTTGACGTTGAGATACTGTTCTTCAGCCGTTGACAAAGCCATTCTTACTCTATGTTTCTTAATTCCAGTTTGATAAAACAAAAATGAATTTTATATAGGGTGGCCATCATTCAATGTCTGAAAGGGAGGAAACTGTTGGGGCTAACCCCTGAGAACCCCGTTGATCATTGTGGTTTCCATTTTTTACACATGTGTAAATAATATACGAAAAAATAGGTGTATGGAATGTTCAATAATCAGTGATAATATTAAACGTCGAAAACTATAATTAAAGTATTAAATGTCGAGAAAAAAAAACAAAAATTAAGTATTTTATTTAAAAAACAAAAGAAAAACAAAACAATACTGAGGGCATGGCTGTCTCCTTTTTTATATTTCTGTTCTTTTCTCGCCATTTTCAGTAGTTTGTTGTTGACAAGAAGTGTTTTGTATATAACTGAACATTCTTCTGTGAAGTTATTACATATTTGGAGTTCTGCTTTGACAGAGTCTTTCAAACGATTTCTCTCATTTCTTCATACTAAAATCATCATTGAGAAAATTCGTTCGGCATGAGCATTGCTACATGCTATGGAGAACGTATAAGCACTAAAAAGAAATCTCTAAGTCACCTTTATTAAATAACTTCAGACAGCGTTCTTCGCAGCTGCTGTTTACCATCTCAGGATTATTTATAATGGGCTTCACAAACCCATACTCTTCGTATAATTCATTTATACAGGTATATATCAGGAATGTTAAATGCCTTCACCCCATCGCAGAACTCTTCAAAACGTATGACACTTGTTAGGCTCAATTTGTCATTTTATAGTGAACGGTGTTTTTTGAGAAATCATATCTGTCACTTAAATGTTTTATTATTTTTTTATAGAAAACCTTAAAGTTTGCCAACTAAGGTAAAAAAAAACCAGAAAAAAGCCAAAATTTATTATATATTTTATATACATTATACTTTAAGTATACTTAATGCTATTTTATTATATTAATGCTTCTTCCCGAACAAGCACATCTTGATGATTAAGGTAAGAAATTGAATCAGGGGAATACAGTTTCTCAGAAGTAAAACATTCTAACATTTTATGTAAAGGGACAAATTCTTTGCAACATATATACGAGAACAAAAGTTGTGACCTAATCCAAATAATTGCATCTAGAAGAGAGAGTTGCATTCTATTCCTTGCCTTATT